TCTGGCTTCTGTTCTCCAGCCAGTTCCCTGGTCTCCCTCTCTTCTTTCTGTTTCTTTTCTTCAGATGGAAGGTACAAAGGAAGCTTTAGTTCTTTGTCTATAAATGTACTGATTTAGCTAGAACATAAGGAGTTTCATGCTGATGCGCCTTGAAACATGTTTTGCTGGATATTTGTTATTTTGTATTAGATGGCTGATAGAATTCCTGAGGAATGCCTCGAAAAATGCCTCAAGTTATAACTAGGGCTATGTTTCAGAGAAACAGTGTAGTAGAATCACTGCAGAAGATTTTGCTGACTGGTAAGTCAAAACCAGTGTTTTCATAGATTTGGGGTGTTTCCCTTCCCTCCTTCCCTCTCTCCTTCTTCCAATGTAAGCTGTATTTTGTAGCACTTCAGGAAGGAAGTAAATGTAATAGCTGTAGTCAGTTGTTTTGTTTTCTTTTAAGAAAATTAGGGAAGGTCAACGAATTTACAGAAGTCTGTAATTTGAATTCAGTGGTATAAGGTACCTCCCTTGGCTTGCTGATTTTAGAGTACTGTGGTCATGATATGCGAATGAGAACAAAACTGGATGTCTTTGTATGATGCTTAAGTAAATGAGACAAAGGCTATTCAGTGGTGAAAATAATTTTACAAAGAAATGTCATAATGACTTAACAGATGGGTGATTTTGGAGGCTCTTTTCCTTTCTTCAGTCATGCATCTTTCTTCCTTTAAGTAGCACCAGTTTTAGACTGTTTGTTCTTGGGCTGCTTTTCAGTTGGGTGTTTAATGATAAATAGGTTGTTATGATGTGGTGGAAAAAAAGAATGTCCCTGTAAAGCAAAAGCAAAAAAATAAAATTGTAGCTTTGATAACTATATTTGTTTCTTTTCTCTTCTCCTAGCTGTGTATGCCCAAAGGGCTGTCTTTCAGAACACAGGCAGATAACAGAGATCCACAGCTCCATTCGTTCATCATCACCAGAGAAGATGGCTCTCGTACGTACGGGTTTGTGCTCACGTTCTACGAGGAGGTTACAAGCAAGCAGATCTGCACAGCCATGCAAACGCTCTACCAGATGCACAATGCAGAGCAATACAGCAGCGTCTGTGCCTCCTCCTCATGCAGCATGGACTCCCTGGCCAGCAGCATCGATGAGGGAGACGCTACTTCCCTCACCAAGCTCCAGCGGTACAATTCCTACGACATCAGCAGAGACACGCTGTATGTCTCCAAATGCATATGCCTCATCACCCCTCTGCCCTTCATGCAAGCCTGCAAGAAGTTCCTGATCCAGCTCTATAAGGCAGTGACCTCCCAGCAGCCACCACCTCTGCCCCTGGAGAGCTACATCCATAACATCCTCTACGAGGTGCCCCTGCCACCCCCAGGGAGGTCGCTGAAGTTTTATGGGGTTTATGAGCCTATCATTTGCCAGAGACCTGGGCCCAACGAGCTGCCGCTCTCTGACTACCCGCTGAGGGAGGTCTTCGAGCTGCTGGGCCTGGAGAACCTGGTCCAGGTTTTCACCTGTGTTCTTCTGGAGATGCAGATCCTTCTGTACTCACAAGGTGGGAGCTTGTCTGGTGATGCACGTTGGGTCTGTTCCCAGCAGGCAGTTCCTGGGCAGCTGCAGTCACAGGAGCTAGTATAAAGCTGTTGATTTTTAGTGGATTTGTGAAATGTGGGAATGTAATGAAAAAACATGAGAGAAATGAGCCTGTCTTAATGAAAGCACTAAATAATTGTTTTCTCCAGGCAGTCTAGGTACCATTTGTTTAATTATGCATTGTATTTATCACTAGTGACAGCTAGCAATAGAATTCACTTAATTATTATCCTTACATTGCCCTTGATCATGCTGCAAGACAGCATGAAACTAATCCTATCTACTGCAAAAATTCCAGCAGAAAGTAATACATCTTGCAGAAAACACTCTTGCTACTTTTCTTTTTAGAATTTCAGCAGCATGTTGAAGTTTGGTGAGATTTCCTCCCTCCTGTATGATAGATATGCTCTGGTTAAAGCACTGAAAGATTTTTAGCACTTAGAGGCTGAAGTTTTAATGCTGGGTTGGAACTGAGTGGAGTTACAGGGCGTCCCTTTGTAGTCCTACTCGAGATATTTGGGAACTTTTCTGACAAGGGTGCTGGTATTTCTTTTTGAGGCACTTAAGACTGTAATTGGCAAAGGCTTGCTGCATTGACAGAATAGTGCAATTCACTGCTACGAGTTTTGGGAATCTTGACTTAGCGCTGGGCATGCTCTGAGGTTTTACAGCCCTATTACTGTTTCCTGTATGGTGTTGGTGGCTGTGAGCCTGGCCCTAGTGGTATCTGGGTACCCAAAAGGTACGTACTGCAACTGATGTAATGCACCAGAGCGCCTGAACAAGTCAAGTTCCAGTTTTATGCTGGCTTTCAGGGGCTTGTCCAGGCTTTTTGGAGATTCCTCTAAGTCTCACTGGATGCTTGTCCAAATTATTTGGGTTCCCAAATGGCTTCTGTGATGCTGACCCTAAATTAGTAAAATGTGCCTCAGGGAAAAAGTTCCGGGGGTGGTTTCATCAGACTGGAACGAACTGAAGCCAGGAGGTACACATACCTTTTAACAAAAAGAAAAGATGCTGAATACCTAGACTTCTCAAGAGATACGGTTCAAGCAACATCTTGAAAATCAGACAGCTTGAAATAAGGAGGAGAGAGACGATGGGAAGTGGTTTAAAATGAGTACGGGTAATGAACCTTTAGGATCCAGAAGTGAACGCTTGGGTTTGTCATCTCAAATAAAAGGTCAGTAAGTGTGTAGTAGTAATACTAATGGATAAATGACTGAGAAAGGGGAAAAAGGTTTAGGGAGGTAGAAGGAAGGTAGTTCTTCTGCAAATGACTGAATTCAAAGGATTGCTGGTTTTTTGCAGAGTACTTCTCCACATGGACTCCAGTGGTTTGCTGTCAAGAAACGAAACTGAAGGGCTTTATCTGCTCTTGGTTTGAAGTGTGAACAGAAATCCTGCTGTTAGTTTTGATTAGGCTGCTTTTCCCCTCCCTTCTGCTTCTGTGTGTGTGTGTGCTTACACCTTTCTTCCTTGGTTTGAATCTTGCTGCCTTTGCTACTTGACACTGGGGTTCAACATTGAGCAGCAACACCACTGAGATGCCTCACCATCTCTGTTCGTCATTCCCATCCTGGTCCCTGCTTATAGACTCACTGAAAACTGAGCCTTTTTTTTTTTTTTCCTGTAAACTAGTAGCATTAGGAAAAAGTCAGCTTGTCAGATTATATTTTAATATATTCTGTGCAGACGGAGAGCAACCTACATATCCATTACTTTTGTAATAGTTCTTGAGAAAGATACAAAATATTCACTAAATAATTGTGACTCTATTTTCAATGCCACCAGAAGTTATATAAATAAATGTTTTTCTTCCAATTGCTGTCTTTAACTTAAGGGTTTATTTGTTTTGTTTGTTTTCACTGTGAGGTTTTTTTAAAGAAAACAGGGATAGTGAGAATTAATCCTTTCTGTTCTCCAAAATTCAGATCTTTTTTTTTCACCTCTTCCTCTATTATTGGTGAATCTATGGATGTCCTTGACATGACCTTTACTCAACTATGTGATATAGACACAACTTGATGGCGCATGGGGAAAAGCATACAGTTGCATTAGGGAAATCCAGTGATTATGCAAATAGCATCATAATGCTGGTTCCCAGAGGTGAGGAATGTGGAGTGCAGGTCAAGTGCAAAGCCTCAGTTTTGGCACATCCTGATAACTGAGTGCTTGGCTAATTGTGCACTGCAGCTTCTTTTAAATGTCAGTCTTGTGATTCCTGAAAGAGGAAAACAAAGCAGCTCTTTTCCTATTTGAGGTGTAACTAGGCTAGATACTACGGAAATCTCTCTAAGCTTGAGATCCATCATGGACAAACGCTTTCGTAACTCCCAATTTATTTCAAGGCAAAAGATGAAAAGAAGTTTTTGGCTTTTGTATTTCTTGTTCCAAAGTAATGAGTGAGAGAGTGTTTTTGCAAATTTGTCCTTCCTTCCCTTTTTGCTTTAAAGAGAATGGATTTGCTGGACTATGTTTCCAGTGGCCTGGCCTTGCTGCCACCTTCCCAAACTCAACAAGAGATTAGTAGAAGATGGTCTTGCATCCACAGGGTGCAATTTCAAGCAAGACAGAATCATGAACTGAAAGTCAGAATTTGCTGAACTTCCCACTGTGTGTGGGAAATGTAAGCTGACTTTTTTGTGGTTCTCCTAGCCCTGTTGGAAGGAAGCTTTTAATTCAAGCTTGCAGGAAAAAAAAAAAATGTTCTTCTTTTTAAGGAATAAAGACTTCTTTTGGAAAGTTGAGTGAAAAGGATAAATTCTTGCACAACGCTGACCATACAATGAGCCTGCTGTCAGTCCACTGAGAACCCAAAACGTCTTACTAAACATCTGTACACTAAAGGCAGTTTACTTTTAGCAGCCAAAAAAGAGCAGGAGGGACATGGAGACTGCAAACACCAGGAACAACTAGTCAAACAGCTTTAGTTCCAAACTTTATAGGCAAGCATGGGCAGGGGCTGCCTGGAGAAAACGTGGTGGTCAAGTGGAGTTGCACCTATTTGGTGATAACAGCAGCAAAGGGCTAGCGGTAGGGTTGCACAGAGAGTGTACTGGCTTTTCTGGACTGTTTTTTCTCTAGTGGACTAGGAGCTGATGATGAAAGAGTTTATTTTTAACCTTGTAGCTGAGGCATAATGAACAAAGGCATCCAACTAAATGAAGAGGTGAGGGTGTTGGATGACTTTACCCAGCTTGCCCTGAATGTGTTCCCAGCACGATAGGACAGTGTCTGGCACACTGGTGGGGACAGGACCAATAGGTAGCTGTTTGTACCATGGCTGCTACTGTCAGTTTTGGGTATCTAATTGCTCTGTTCATGGTGCTTTACGGGCGAGTGGTATCCCATCACTTGGGCAAATGATAGCAGACTGCAACTTCACTTTGCAGCTCTGGTGGTCAAGCAGAGGAGTGGAGAAACTGATAGAAAAGAATGATGAGCTAATTTTTTGAGCTCATTTTTTAAGTTCTTTCATTCCTAAACATTTTGGGAATTAATCCTCAATTTCTCTCATGTTTATAGTTTAAACTTTAAAGCAGCCTGGTGCTACAGAGCTCTCACTGTGGCTTTACAAACCACAGTTTGGGAACTGCTGGTGTGGATAATTGTGTCCTTCTGGGGCGAAAGCCACTGTGACCAAAGCATTTCGGTCTGAAGCTGTGAAACATCTGTGCAGCTTGGTGCTGTGGCAGCATTAGGGCAAAATGCAGAACAAGGTGAGGATAGCAGGGTAACTGGCAAAGACTTGTGCTTGTGCCTAAATGGCAAGGCTGAGAAGACAAGCCCTTACTGTTAATGGAGACGGCGTGGGCTTCCAGGGAGTTAATCAAAATCACTGTTGGTGGGTAGATGTAATAGACTGCTGTAAGCACCGACTTCGGCCTGCAGAGGTGATATAGAAAGCTGTACCTGAAAGCACTGGAAGCAGAACTCCTGTGGCTTCAGGTTACATCTTCCTGCATATAGAGAATACTTTTAAGTTTAAATAGAGCCAGATTTTAACATTGGGTCTTTGAAAACCAAGGAGAGGGATTAGATATTTTTTCCCCCAGAGTTCTTCAGGGTGCAGTCTTTGATTTGCAGCCTTATAGAACTTCATCCTCTAAAAATCAAAGACTGGATTATGATGTGTTCCTGTGACTTTCAAAGGAAGGATGTAAGAACTACCAGACTCCCAATAAAGCACAAAAAGCTGATATACAGAGTCATACTTCTTATCACTAAACAAGGCACACGGTGTAGCACATACGTAACTTTGTGTAAGCTTGGGGCTTACATTCATTTATTAAACACTCGCTGTTGTAATTTTATTATAGTTTATTTAATTGTGGAAATGAATACTCTTGCAAGTGCCCTTCATTTTATTCAGAGCACAGCTCTCCCATGTGACAGTGGATGTAAGAGTATTGTGAATGTCAGGCTTCCAGCAGTGTCGAAGTTAATAACACTCTGCCATAGCTTCTACAGTTTCCGAAGGATTGGTAACAAAATGCCACTGGCATGAGATGTCTGCTGGAGAACGATGAATAAAACTGTGGGCTCTGCGGAAACCTCGGCAATCTATTTTGTATGTCTGCCTTTCTAGGGATTTATACATGGGAGGGAACATGTGGATGAGAGAAAGATAAACTTCTTAGAGCTTAAGCTGTTTCTAGTCATTCTAATTTTGAGCATTTCCCAAGTTGTTTTTCAAAGGGCTTGAGTAATTGCTCCTCAAAGATTGAAATATCCTTTGCATTATTTTTTTTTCAGTCTTAGAAATTATAATACAAATGGCTATGCATATATATAGTCATTGCCTAGAAAAAGGTGGTGTCTAAAACATCTTCCTTACGAAGTCTGTTTTGGGGGAGATTTTAAAAAAACTAATATATTCATGATGTGTTTGCCTTTTAAAGCATTTTTAAACCAAATAGTTACATAGAAAACCTTTCCTCTCCTCTGCTCATTACTTAA